GTGCCCCCGAGGGCCTGGCAAAACATGAAACCTCAGACTGTAATCCATGTGGAACTGAAGGGCAATTCTTTGGAAAGCTCATATAACATAGTTTACATGGAGTGGGAAAGAAGCTCAATGGAACCAAAAGGAGATGGGGACGGGTAAAGGAAAATGTTTGGTGTAACTTCCAAGACAATTCAAGATTAAAATTCTCCTTAGGTGAGCAAATCAAAGGGCAATAGCTGTATCAACAAGCCATCCCGTCATGCTGCAATTTCAAAATGGATTGCAGACTACAGAGCTTTACTTCTTCATGTATGTTTTTAGCTATGGCTTTATATAAAAGTCAGGTCTTGCCAATGCAGTTATTTGCATGCTTGCAAGCCTCCTATAATTGTGTTTTACCCTGGCTGTGTTCCTCCCTGTTACATGACTGACACACTGTAATGAGGTAATCTGCTGGCACACAAAGATATAAACGGTTTAGGACAACAAGAGATCCTTCACTCTACCACTTTAAAGCAATCTGCCCTCAGTTATTCTTTCTTCTGTTTCAATTATAGATTAACTTAAATTATATTTATAACCACTCTGGCTGCCACAAGAAACACCAGTGGTCCAACAGCCTTAGGACAAAACGCTATGAAAAGAATGAGTACAGTGCAGTTAGTAAACGTGAACAAGCTTTTGTAATTTTCTCTTCTTTCCCCTGGGGGTATTGCTTACACTATTGTCAACCATGTAACAAACTTTGAATGTGACCTAGAAACCTCTGAGGAGCCATAATAACTGCATAATAATGAATTAACTGTGATGGAAATTGACATTTCAGAATTGTGATGCCTTTTATTATCTATGTAATACACCTTTACAATCATGTGAAATTAGCCCAAAATGAATAGCTCAGCAGTCATTTTATTACATATATTAATATATAGTAATATAGAAGTAATAATAAAAAATAATAGGATAAACATAATATTCCACTCTTGTAATGGCCATCAAAAAAATATGATTCATATTTTTTTTTCAAGTTTTCCTTATTTGAGGCAAGTCAAGTCTGCAGACTGAACATAAGTAAGCAATTCCCATTTGTATCCTATGAAGGGAATACATGACAGTGCGGTGTAATAACCTCATTACTCAGGGGTGGTAAAGTCACAATGTATAGGCCAAACAAAGTAAGGGCCAAGAAAACTTTATTCCAGCTCATGAATATTCATTCCATTCAGGACTTCTGTCCTGTTGGGATGCGTGCTGTACAAAAAAAATGTAGTGAGGGAAAAACCCTGCCCAAAGGGTGACATATACCTTATAGAAAAAAATTCTTTGGAAGTATTCTAGTTGCACACATTTTATTTGTACTATTTTGTTCTGCTATCTGTCAAGGAAAATAACTACCGGAATTTTGAAACTCCTGATAATTACCCAGGTTTCCCAATATATGTGTCACCATATTGTGATCCCATATCTTGTGATCCACGAGGGATAAAAGTGCCATGTACTGCTATGAAACTTGTAGTTTACATAGGTTCAATACTCTTATTTTTAGTCTTCATAGCTCACAATGTATTGGAACTTTACTTGTCGTGTTACTTAGATAAGTACAATTATATATCCAAACTTTGTTAATGCTACCTTCTGGGGTGATAGAATTAAGATGTGCCATCAGTGCTGTGCATTTTATATTGCCATCCTAATACCGGTCATAATAAAAATTGTTTTAATTTGGAACTATCCTAATTGTAAGTGTGACTTCTGTTGTGAGTCCCTAGATTTGCCTCCAGTAATAGAGCTTCAGAGCTCTCAACCTTTGTGACCTGGAGTAGGAGGACAGACCTAAAACCTTCTAGTCAGATTACGCTAGCCATAGCCATATCAATTATCTTATTCTTCACCCCCAGGCTACACAACCCAATGGGAATATACTGAGCCCTGCAGCTGCCAGCCTATGCTCCCAGTCCACATCACCAGCCAAAGGGCTTTGCAGCCACCCTGCAACTTCCCCTAAGTGTCCATCATCCCTGGTCCTCCCACTCTGTCCCTGAGCTTGAATGCTACAAATGAGCTAATTGCAGCACTCCAGAAGGTCTGGGGGTGGGGGAGAGGAGTTGCTGAGCGCAGGGCTTAGGTCTTCCAAGTGAATGCTCCAGCCTGGGAGTTCTTACAGGGATGTTGGACCACAGATGCTGCTGGATGACAGAAGTCCTAACTATAGAGATCCAACCTGTACTGTGAGGATAGAGATTGTATGGTGCTGAGATACTACAGTGCTTGGGGGGAGGGCATATAAGTACCATAGATAGAGAAATATTCTTTGAATATCATAGCAAACAATTTGGCTTCAAATCTGCCCAGAAATTCCTTGTATAGACAGTAGTGAGTTATACAAGACACATTTTACTCAGATTTAGAGTGTGAGGTAGGAAAGTCCAATTAATAATGTAAGTTGATGAGTTGAATACTTTTTTGTATGTGCACAATGTATATACTGGCCACTTCCTAGGTTCTCAAAAACTAGACCATGTGATGCAAAAAAGTGGATTAAATTATATGTTAGAGAAACAGAAATTGTTAATAGTATGCTCAGAAAGACAATATGGATGAGGTAATATCTTTTATTAGCCCAACTTCTGTAGTGAGAGGAACAAGTTTTTAAGACACACAGAGCTCTTCTTCAAGTCTGGGAAACATACTGAGAATGTCAAAGAGATCTATGTAAGGTCAAACACTTGTGTCACAAACAAAAATTGATCTGCCTTACTGACATTGTGTCTCTAATATGTTAAGACTGACACAGTTACAAAAACACTGCATGCAGGAATGAACTCTTCTGAACTTTACATTTGGAGCTAATTTGGGGTACATACACAATTGGGGGAAATTATATATGTCAGGGAAGAAAGGCAGAAGGTTGCTGGAAATGTTTTGATATTTCTTCTCAGCTACCTTGGAAAGAATTTTGCTGTCGCATTCTGAATGATTTACAGAGCCATGCATACTAAAATATGTCATGAAGTAAAGCTAAGTTATATTGTCACAATAGCAGTAATTATGAAAAAAGAATATTTTAAGCTAATATAATATGCTCTAGTGCAAAAGACATCACTTTATTTTGTTTTAATATCATAAAAAAGGTTTACAGCTGGGCATAAGCAATGAGATTAGAACCCCGACTTCCCCCACAACATGTTGGGAATGTTTGTACACAGTTTTGGCTCTACCCATTTTAGAGATATGAGCAAAATTTGATTCCAGATATGGATTCTAAGCACTTCCTTCCTCCATCACAGTTTGGGATCATCACATGGCATGCTGGTTTGGGCCCATATCTTTAAGAGAAAAAACTCAGTATAGAAAGCAGAGCTTTCATCCTCCAGTTGTAAGAAAAGCACACTGCCCACAAGTCAATTACCTGAGATGGGCATTTTGTTACAGACATTTTCCCAGTGAAAAGTAACCTCACTACAAGAGCTGATTTCAGCCAATACATACTTGCACAACATAAAATACTGGATATTATTTGCTACCACTCTCATGGTTAACTGACGGCAGGACTGTACTGAAGTACATATTCTTACAATAGGAAGCTTTACTTCAGTCTCCTACTCCCACTCACATAGTGGGGGAGGTTCCTCATGTTGTTTATGCAGCAGCTGCCACTGCAGTCTTCTCACATGTGAGGATGAGCATGGAGCCAAGTACAAGTTACAAATGAATGAGGCTTGGTATGTCTATAATGCAATCATGGGGTGTGATTGCAGCTTGAGCAGTGAAGCTGTGGCAGGATGCCCATCAGGGAGGGCTAGCTATATAAGTAACTACTCAGGGTTCCAAGCCTGGGCTGACTTGTCCATGCTGAAAAGCTCACTGTCCTGGCTTCACTGCTAGTGCATTGATTGTGCTAGCTCAGTGACTGAAGTATAGATATCTCCTTATTAGAAGCAGCCTGTGGAGTGCTCAAAAGTGTGTGGTTGTGGGAAAGTGAGACCCACCAGGCAATTTGAGGGTTCAATCCCAAGCAAAAGCAGAAGGTGCTCTGCACAAACGTGTATACTAGACAGGGGTGCAGGTACAAAAAGCCCATACACTACAATACAGCCATGCTAGAGAAAGATTATCTACTGCCTCTGCTGGGGACTACTAGGTAACATACCTGTAGTAGTGGTTCCAGGGGAATTATGCCTGGGCCGGGTAGGTGTAAAGCCTTGTATACTGAATAGCACCAGCACCAGGACAGGACTGTTTAAAGGGCCAGTTGTGCACCACTTTCCCCCAGGAACTCTGCACACTGCTGGTCAGAGTACCATCTGACTTACAATGAGATGTGAATGTGGAACAACGCCACTGATGTCAACAGAGTTAATCTGATATAACTAAGAGCAAAAACTGGGCCACCTATGCTTTGTGCAGTCAGGTTTCCATTCAGGTGATGCCCTCCTTCCCTGTTCCCTGCAGAGCTCTGATTCATGGAGAAATAATTTAGCCCTAAACGTCCTATGAAGCAATCATCATCTTTGTCTCTTAAGTATTAAAGCAGGTTGGACATGGATTTGGAATCTTTGACATGGGGCTCCTAAAATATTGGCAGCACAAATAATGACACTGCCACAAAAGGAACACAGTCAGGCTGTGGCTGGATTATGCTAAAGAAGTTAATTTGAACCCATATCTTTATTTTAAAAATATGTCTTCACATGTGAGACAAGCAGAATATCAGCCAGAAGATCCAGCATGAGGGTCTGAGAGCAGAACTTTACCTAGAGTACACAGTATCAATAGAATTTTGTTATTTGAACTGTCAGGACATCATCCTGGATAAACCCAGGGAATCAAACCACAACATATTGCCATGGTGTCCAACCAGTGGCTACTGCTACAGCAAATTAGCCACACTCAAGTGGCCAAATAGCCACATGTGACTAGTGGCTAGATTGTTGGACACTACGGGTCTACTGAATTGCCTGCATGTAAGCATCACAGAGAAATAGTTGTAATGATTTGACAATTTCACCAATATTTACTAATATAAGTTCATAGTGAGTATTCCAAGAAATATTTATGAGTGAGTTAGAATGCCTTGACTTGCAAGTTACAAGGATGAATTAACTAGGAAAATTCTCTTCTATTCATCAGATTTTGAATGAATCAGCAGCTACAATGAGCTACTTGAATTCCAATTAAAAAGAAAAAGGCAGAAGGAATCTTAGCCCGATTGGTTATCCAACTACTATTGAGAAAGTTTAAAAAACCAGCTTAAACGCCTAAGAAAAACACACACAAAATATGTAATTTCAGCTTTCTATTTAAATGAAGAGCTAATGTGGTAGGAGGGTAAATGGAGGGCTAATGTAAGGGAGGGTAAAGTGGGACATTGTTAAGAGGGAATACTGATTAGTGATGAGAACACAGCTCTGGGAGTTGAGAAGTTTAGATTTTACTTTTTCCCCAGTCTTGACTGGCATAATAATTACAAAAATACCTCAGAGGGATAGCTGTTTTAGTCTGTAACTTTAAAAACAATGAGTAGTGCTGTACCACCTTAGAGACTAACAAAATATATAGTATCATGAGCTTTGGTTGGTAAGACCAGTGTTCCCTCTAAACTGCAGGAAAGCACAGCTTCAAAGGTGATTAAACAGCCCTGCCCAGTTAGGGGCTCAGGGCACCATGCATGGAGCTGACTGACTAGGTGGGGCTATTAATCACCTGTGAAGCTGTGCTGCAGCGCAGCTTACAGGAAATACTGGGTAAGACCCATTTCAACTCATCTGATTAAGTGACCGTTACCCAGAAAAGCTCACGATACTATATATATTTTGTTATTCTTTAAGATGCTACAGGGCTACTCTTTGTTTTTATAGTAATTAAAGCCATTCAGCTTTTCTGTGTCACTAATATTTCTGTGGAACTAATATTTATCTGAGGTCATATGATATTTATTAATGTTCATAAAACCCTATGTGAGACAATATTTTACAGTACTGACTGGCCCAAAATAAAGCAGTATCAATTCTAAAAGAGTCCACGGTTTAAATCATAACTGAACAAAATTATTGTTGTTTTTATTTGAACTATGACATTTAGAAAGCCTCCTTCAAAAGAGAAAAAGCACTCAACACAAAAATAACACAAATTTATGAAATGTATGAACAAATTATTGTTATACAGTAAACATGCATCTTACTTATTAGAAGGGATGGTTAATGGACAAGCACATATCTTGCAGTCTTCACTTGTGCCTTTAGTAGGATCACCATAGAAACCAGGAAGACATCTATCACAGTATGGGCCACCTGTATTGTACTTGCAGTCCTGAATAGAAGATGCAAAGTGGAGAATATCAATTCAATCTCAAAACCAAAGAATCTAGCAATGGAAAAGACCTTGTAAGGTCATCTAATTCATTCTCCCACAAGAGCAGGATTGTTCCTTATAGTACATGTTCTACTATATGTAAAAGTGATAGTGAGAACTAATTCTTACAATCAGTGGTTCGTGTCCATTAATGTTCATGCTCCTTCTGGAGAGATTTTCTTAAGCAAAATTAAAAGAGTATTTATACTTTTTTCTTTCTTGTTTAGAACTGGTATATTTTAAAAGGACCCAATCCACTTACAAGTGTGAAAAGGTTTATTATCATAACCTTACAAAAGACCTTATGCTCTTGATGAAAAAGTAAAGGATTCAGATGCTGATCTGACACATACAGCACACAATATATCAGCCAATCATCTGTACATAACTGTTGCTGCTGCACATTACAGTCACTCATTTTACAAGGTCTGTAGCTGGCAGAAGCTGACGCCTGGTTATTTATTACTTATGCTGTATAACAGGATCAGTGTTATGATTTGCAGGTACAAGCAAGAGATTCTCTTTCTCTTACTTCTAATAATCACTAAAAAACTGTGTGTGTGTGTGTGTGCGTGTGTGTGTGTGCGCACGCACGCCCCAAAACATGGAACTTCAACAAATCATATGTGTTCCTTTTTAGCAACTGATTTGCTCAGTCCCTTGCTGTATAGGCCTTTGGATGCTCTGATAATTTGCCTTTACCCCTTTCTGTCATCAGCATAACTTTTCCTATTGATAGTAATTCACATTGTGAACTCTTTGATTTTGCTCGATATTGTCCTGTCTTCATCCGTTATGATCTTGGACACCACAAGGATGTCCAACCAGGAAACAATTTGCTGATTTGTCTTCTGTCATTCTAACTGCCCCCTGAAGTTATTGCCATTTCACTACATTTGCTATACCTGGCTCTCCATAAACCGGTGGTGGGCAAAAAGTGGGTTGGATGCAGTTCATCAGGGCTAGCAGGCCACTGGTGCTTTATTTACCTGCATGTCTGCAGGTACGGCCTCTTTCAACCGCCCGTCTACAGATCACCATTCCTGGCCAATGGGAGATATGGGAAGTGTCACAGACCAGGACACTGCTTCCTGCAGCTCCCACTGGCCGTGAATGGTGATCCATGGTCAATGGGAGCTGCAAGTGGCTGTATGTGTGGGCACACAAATAAATGAAGCACTGGTAGCCTGCCAGGGAACTATCTACCCCTGGTAAATCGCATCCAGCCTATGGGCCGCTTATTGTCCACCTCTCATCCAGCCTATGGGCCGCTTATTGTCCCCAAATGGCCATCGACCTTTAACAGTTCCTTATTAGAACTTCTCTATACATGTGTTCATTTTTTGATTGTATCACTTTGGTATATATGGTTGTGCCAATTTTCTTCCACATATTGATCTGAGGAAGTGGGTCTGGTCCATGAAAGCTCATTACCTAATAAACCATCTTGTTAGTCTTTAAAGTGCTACATAGTTCTGTCTTTTATTTCTCTATACATCAGTCTCCTTTATTGTCCCTAAAGTTCATCTCATTACTTTATTTTTGAAGATATTAAGCCATCACCTTCCTTCTCAGTAAGAGTTCAAGTTTCACATCCATATAAAACAAGATCTTGTATTTCTGAAGCTTGTTTTTTCTCAATAGTACTTTGGAGCTGAATTTATTCTTTTTTAGGAAAAGCTAA